TACAGGAACACCCAGACTAGGCCGGCCCCGCGGCACCCCCAAACCCAGCGCGGTGACCCCAGCGAAGGGCACCGCCAGCGGGGTGTCCCCCAGAAAGGGCACCACGACGGGACCCCCCAAAGCCAGCGGGGTGCCCCCCACGAACGCCGCGCCCCCCCAGCCCGGCCGGCCCCGCGGCACCCCCAAACCCAGCGGGGTGACCCCAGCGAAGGGCACCGCCAGCGGGGTGTCCCCCAGAAAGGGCACCACGACGGGACCCCCCAAAGCCAGCGGGGTGCCCCCCACGAAGGGCACAGCCGGGGGACCCCCTAAAGGCAGCGAGACGCCCCCCTGGAAAGGCACCACGGCGGGGCCCCCCACACCCAGCGGGGTGCCCCCTCCGAGGGGCACCACGGCCGCCCCCTCGAGGAGCAGCAGCACTTCGGGACCCCCAAAAGGCGGCACGGCCCCCCCGGTGCGGGGCAGCGCGACCCCCCCCAGCCCCTCCCGGCGCGGGGGGCTGCGGGACCGGGACCCCGCGGCCACAGGTAGGACCGGGAGGGGTCGGGGGCGCTGGGAGGGGAGCGGGTGCGAGGGACAGAGTGAGCAAAGGGGGGTCCCTGGGGGAAAAAGGGGTGCCAGGCTCTTCCCCTGTCCCCTCGCAGCCCCGGCGCCCACGGTGAGCAAGGTGGCGGAGAGGAGGAGGAAGGTGGTGAGGAAGAAGGTGGTGAAGAAGAAGGTGCTGAGGAAGAAGCCGGAGGCTCCGGTCGCTCCGCAGGAGCCCCGTACGTGCGCTGGGTGCGGGTGGCCCGGGCATTGTCACCTGGAGCTGGCTGTGTCCTGGGGACACCTGGGGGCACCTGGGGTTGGGGTGTTGAGCCGTGGCTGGCACGGTCCCCATGGCACAGCTCGGTGGGGACACTGGGTGGGCACAGCCGCGGCCGTTCAGGGGTCCCTGTGCGAGCGCTGTCCCCGCTGTGTCCCCAGCGTGTCCCCCCCTGGGGCTGGAGTCCCTGCGGGTGCTGGACGAGCAGCTCCGGGCATCGAGCCACAAGCGGCACGGGCTGGGCGCGCACCGCGGCCGCCTCAACATCCAGGTACTGCCAGGTGTGCCAGGGCGGGCCAGCAGTGTCCGAGGAGTGTGCCAGGGTGTGCCAGGATGGGTCAGGATGTGCCAGGAGTGTGCCAGGATGAGTCAGGATGGGTCAGGAATGGGCCACAGTGTGCCAGGGTGTGCCAGGATGGGTCAGGATGTGCCAGGAGTGTGCCAGGGTGTGCCAGGATGAGTCAGGATGTGCCAGGAATGTGCCAGGAGTGTGCCAAGAGCGCCAGGAGAGGGCCAAGAGTGTGGCAGGATGTGCCAGGGCGTGCCAGGAGTGTGCCAGGCTGAGGGGGATGTTTGGATGTCGCCTACACAACATGTGGCACGTAGGTGTGGCACATTCATGGCAAGTTTGTGGCATCTTCATGGCATGTTGGTGACATTTTGTGGCGAGTTGGTGGCACATTCATGGCATGTTGGTGACATTTTGTGGCGAGTTTGTGGCACATTCATGGCACGTTTGTGACACTTTGTGGCGACTTCGTGGCATCTTCATGGCCCACGAGTGTCCCAGGCGCTCTCCGGCTCTGTCCCCTCCCTCTTGTGGCTCCCCGTGACCCCGGTGCCACCACCGCGGTGCCACCCCGGGCTCGGGGACACGGCGGGCGGTGGGGCCGTGTCCCTGTGCGTGTCCCCTGCCCTCCCCGCAGTCCGGGCTCTACGACGGTGACTTCTACGACGGCGGCTGGTGCGCGGGGCGCGAGGACACGCGGCAGTGGCTGGAGGTGGACGCGCGGCGCCTCACCCGCTTCACCGGCGTGGTCACCCAGGGCCTCAACTCCATCTGGACGTAAGGGGACAAGGGGGACGGGGGGGGACAGCGCGGGGACCCCCTGACCGCCCCGTGCCCCGCAGGTACGACTGGGTGACGTCCTACAAGGTGCAGGTCAGCAACGACTCGCACGCGTGGCTGCCGAGCCGCAACGGCACCGAGGAGGCGGTGGGTGACACCGGGGTGGCACCGGGGTGGCATCCCCACACAGGGTGGGGACATGGGGAGGTGACAGTGCCAGGGGGCAGGAATCACCTGGGAGGTAATGATGGGGGAGGGTTTAAGCGGGGTGGGGAGGTTAGTGATGCTCGGGGGTTAATTGTGCCAGGTGGGTAATGATGCCAGGGTGGGGTTAATTAGGCCAGGGTTAATGATAGTGGGGGTTAATTGTGGTGGGGTTAACCATGCTGGGTGGGATAACCATGCCAGGGGGGTTAGTTAGGCCAGGGTTAATTATACTGGGGTTAATTGTGGTGGGAGTTAATTGTGCCGGGTGGGTTAACCATTCCAAGGGTTAACTGTGCCAGGGGGGTAACAATGCCAGGGGGATTGATTATGCCAGGGTAAATTATACTGGGGGTTACCCAGGTGAGATAACCCTGCCAGGGGGATTAATTAGGCCTGGGTTAATTGTGCTGGGGTTAACCATGGCAGGCAGGAAAACCACGCTGGGCAGGGCATTAACCACACCGGGTTAACCACCCCAGGGAGGGTTAACCACCCCATCCCGCGGTGTCCATCCCGGGGTGCCCATCCTGTGGTGCCCGTGCCAGCTGGCTCCGTGCCCGGGCTCTGTTGCCCTTGGCCTGGCCCTGCCGGGCACCCTGCAGCACTTCCCCCCAGCACAAAGGCTGCTTGTCCCTGCCTGGGCACCTGCCAGCCCCCCTGGCACGGCCGCGGGGACACGGGGACACGCGTGGGTGCGGCATGGCAGCGGGCTGGGGACACGCGTGGGTGCGGCATGGCACCGGGCTGGGGACACGCGTGGGTGCGGCATGGCACGAGGCTTGGGGACACGCGTGGGTGTGGCATGGCAGCGGGGGCGAGCACGGCAGCCTGGGGCAGGGGAGGGTTTGGGGTCCCTGTGCCAGGGCTGGGACTGGGGGTCCCATGGGTGGATTTGGGGTCCCTGTGCCAGGGGTGGTGTTGGGGATCCCTGTGCTCAGAGTGGTTTGGGGGTTCCTGTACAAGAGGTGGATTTGGGGTCCCTGGGACAGGGCTGTGCTGGGACACATTTGGGGGCCAGGGGTGGATCTGGGTGTTCCTGTACTATGGATGGATTTGGGGTCCTTGTGCCAGGGATGGATTTGGGCTCCCTGTGCCAGGGTGGGCTCCCTGTGCTTGGGGTGGATTTGGGGGTCACCACGTCAAGGCTGTACCAGGATCAGCTTTGGGGATCTCCATGCCGGGGGTGGATTTCGGGGTCCCCCTGCCCGACCCCTGCCAGGAGCAGATTTGGGGTTCCCTGTGCCCACCCCTGGTGCCTCTGGGCTCCGAGCAGCGCCCCCGGGGCTGTGCCCCCGGCCGTGCCTGCTGGGGGGCACCGGGCAGCGCCTGCAGCCCCACGGGCGGCTCTCCCTGACCCCCGCTGTCCCCTGCTGTCCCCTCCTGTCCCCTCAGGTGTTCCCCGCCAACAAAGACCCCGAGACGCCGGTGCTGAACGTGCTGCCCTCGCCGCTCGTGGGGCGCTTCCTGCGCATCAACCCGCAGAGCTGGTTCCCCAACGGCACCGTGTGCCTGCGGGCCGAGGTGCTGGGCTGCCCGGTGCCCGGTGCGTGTCCCCGCCTGTCCCCTGCCCCTGGGGACCCGCCGCCTGTCCCCCGGGTCGCCCCGCGCCGCCCCAGCAGCGCCCAGCCAGCGCCGCGGTCCGGGCTGTTCGCTGTCCCTGACCGTGTCCCCCCGTGTCCCCTCGGTGTCCCCGCAGACCCCAGCGATGCCCACGCCTGGCACCCCCCGGTGCCCCCCGAACCGCAGCTGGATTTCCGCCACCACAACTACAAGGAGATGAGAAAGGTGCCAGCGTCCCCTGGGGGCGCTCCGTGTCCCCAAGGGCAGCGCGGGGCTGGGGGGCTGTGCCACCTCGGGGTGTCCCTGACGGTGCCACCTCGGCGTGTCCCTGACGGTGCCACCCCCCGCAGCTGATGAAGAGGGTGAGCGAGGAGTGCCCCGACATCACCCGCGTGTACAGCATCGGGCAGAGCTCCCGCGGGCTGCGCCTCTACGTGATGGAGATCTCGGACAACCCCGGGCAGCACGAAGTCGGTGCGTGCCGGGGGGACAGCGGGGACAGCTGGGGACAGCCGGGACAGCGGGGACAGCCGGGACAGCTGGGGACAGCCGGGGACAGCCGGGACAGCTGGGGACAGCGGGGACAGCCGGGACAGCCGGGACAGCCGGGACAGCTGGGGACAGCCGGGGACAGCCAGGACAGCCGGGACAGCCGGGGTGGGGCACGATGGGCGTGGGGACAGCGCCAGGGATGCCCAGCCGGGGGTGCCCAGGATGAGGAGAGGGCACCAGGGATGCCCTGGGTGCTGCAGGGGAGTGGGGACTGTCACCAGGGCTGGTGCTGGAGCGTGGGGACTGTCACCCTGGCTGGCTCAGGGTGGGGTGACTGGGCCACCCAGCCTGGCATGGAATGCCCAGGATGGAGTTGGGGTCACCAGGGACACCCAGACCTGTGAAGGACAGGGGGACTGGGTGGCTGGGGACACCCAGGATGGGGACACAGGGACACCCAGACTGGTGCAGAATGGGGACAGGGACACCCAGACTGGTGTGGGATGGGGTTGGGGACACCTGGACTGGTCCAGGGTGGAATACAGGGACACCCAGACTGGTGCAGGGTGATGGGGACAGTCACCAGGGATGTCCAAAGTGGAGCACGCGGATGGGAACAGGGTGACCAGGAATGCTCAGGATGGAGATGGGGACTCAGGGACAGCCAGACTGGTCCAGGATGGGACAAGGACACCCAGACTGGTGCAGGGACACAGGGACAGGGACACCCAGGGTGGTGCAGGGACATGGGGACAGGGTGACCAGGAACACCCAGGATGGAGACAGGGACTCAGGGACACCCAGCCTGGTCCAGGATGAGACGAGGACACTCAGACTGGTGCAGGGACATGGGGACAGTGGCCAGGGACACCCAGGGTGGTGCAGGGACACGGGGACAGCGACCAGAAACACCCAGGATGAGGATGGGGACTCAGGGACAGCCAGACTGGTCCAGGATGGGACAGGGACACCCAGACTGGTGCAGGGACATGGGGACAGTGACCAGGGACACCCAGGATGGAGATAGGGACACAGGGACACCCAGACTGGTCCAGGATGGGACGAGGACACCCAGACTGGTGCGGGGACACAGGGACAGGGACACCCAGGGTGGTGCAGGGACATGGGGACAGGGTGACCAGGAACACCCAGGATGGAGACAGGGACTCAGGGACACCCAGCCTGGTCCAGGATGAGACAAGGACACTCAGGGTGGTGCAGGGACATGGGGACAGGGTGACCAGGAACACCCAGGATGGAGACAGGGACTCAGGGACACCCAGCCTGGTCCAGGATGAGACGAGGACACTCAGACTGGTGCAGGGACATGGGGACAGTGGCCAGGGACACCCAGGGTGGTGCAGGGACACGGGGACAGCGACCAGAAACACCCAGGATGAGGATGGGGACTCAGGGACACCCAGACTAGTGCAGGGACATGGGGACAGTGGCCAGGGACACCCAGGGTGGTGCAGGATGAGGGGGACAGGGACACCTGGGATGGGGTTACAGGAACACCCAGACTAGTGCAGGGATGTGGGGACAGTGGCCAGGGACACCCAGGATGAGGATGGGGACTCAGGGACACCCAGACTGGTCCAGGATGAGACGAGGACACTCAGACTGGTGCAGGGACACGGGGACAGTGGCCAGGGACACCCAGGGTGGTGCAGAACAATAGGGACAGGGTGACCAGGAACATCCAGGATGGAGATAGGGACACAGGGACACCCAGGATGGTGCAGGGACCTGGGGACAGTGACCGAGGACACCCAGGATGGTGCAGGGACATGGGGATAGGGACACCTGGGATGGGGTTATAGGAACACCCAGACTAGTGCAGGGACATGGGGACAGTGGCCAGGGACACCCAGGATGAGGATGGGGACTCAGGGACACCCAGACTGGTCCAGGATGAGACGAGGACACTCAGACTGGTGCAGGGACACGGGGCCAGGGACACTCAGGATGGGGATGGGGACACGGGGACAGTGGCCAGGGACACCCAGGGTGGAAATAGGGACACAGGGACACCCAGGGTGGTGCAGGGACACGGGGACAGTGGCCAGGGACACTCAGGGTGGTGCAGGGACATGGGGCCAGGGACACTCAGGATGGGGATGGGGACACGGGGACAGTGGCCAGGGACACCCAGGGTGGAAATAGGGACACAGGGACGCCCAGGGTGGTGCAGGGACACGGGGACAGTGGCCAGGGACACCCAGGGTGGTGCAGGGACACAGGGACACCCAGGGTGGTGCAGGGACACGGGGACGGTGGCCAGGGCCCCTGCAGCCACCGCCCTGCCCGCAGGAGAGCCGGAGTTCCGCTACGTGGCCGGCATGCACGGGAACGAGGTGCTGGGCCGGGAGCTGCTGCTGAACCTGATGGAGTTCCTGTGCCGGGAGTTCCGCGGGGGCAACGCCCGCGTGGTGCAGCTGGTGACGGGCACGCGCATCCACCTGCTGCCCTCCATGAACCCCGACGGCTACGAGACCGCCTACAAGCTGGTACGGCTGGCACCGCCCCTGCCCGCGGGGATCCCGCGGATCCCGGGCATCCCGGTGCCCATCTCGGGGATCCTGGCGCCCATCCTAGTGCCCATCCTGGGGATCCCAGGTCGGGGATCCTGGTACCCATCCTGGTGATCCCAGTGCCCATCCCGGTGACCGCAGTGCTCATCCCAGGGATCCCAGTGCCCATCCCAGTGATCCCAGTGCCCATCCCAGTGCCCATCCCGGTGACTGCAGCACCCATCCCAAGGATCCTAGTGACCCCAGTGCCCATCCTGGTAACCATGGTGCCCATCCCGGTGATCCCAGAGCCCATCCCAGGGTTCCCACTGCCCATCCTGGGGATCCCAGGGATCCTGGTGCCCATCTCAGGGATCCCAGTGCCCATCCCAGTGATCCCAGAGCCCATCCCAGGGTTCCCACTGCCAATCCTGGGGATCCCAGTGATCCCAGTGCCCATCTCGGGGATCCCAGTGCCCATCCCAGTGCTCATCCCGGGGATCCCAGGTCAGGGATCCTGGTACCCATCCCGGTGATCCCAGAGCCCATCCCAGGGTTCCCACTGCCAATCCTGGGGATCCCAGTGATCCCAGTGCCCATCTCGGGGATCCCAGTGCCCATCCCAGTGCTCATCCCGGGGATCCCAGGTCAGGGATCCTGGTACCCATCCCAGTGATCCCAGAGCCCATCCCAGGGTTCCCACTGCCCATCCTGGGGATCCCAGTGATCCCGGTGCCCATCCTGGTGATCCCAGTGCCCATCCCAGTGACTGCTGTGCCCATGCCGGTAAGTCTAGTGTCCATCCCAGTGACTGTGGTGCCCATCCCAGGGATCCCAGTGCCCATCCTGGTGATCCCAGTGCCCATCCCAGTGTCCATCCCAGTGACTGCTGTGCCCATTCCGGTGATCCTGGTGCCCATCCTGGTATCCATCCCAGTGCCCATCCTGGTGATCCCGGTGCCCATAACAGTGATGCCGGTGCCCATCCCGGTGCCTGTCCTGGTGACTGTGGTGTCCATCCTGAGGATCCCAGTGATCCCAGTGCCCATCCCCATGATCCTGGTGCCCATCCCGGTGTCCATCCCAGTGACTGTGGTGCCCATCCCAGTGCCCATCCTGGTGATCCCGATGCCCATCCCAGTGATCCCGGTGCCCATCCTGGTGATCCCAGTGCCCATCCCAGTGACTGCTGTGCCCATGCCGGTAAGCCTAGTGTCCATCCCAGTGACTGTGGTGCCCATCCCAGTGCCCATCCTGGTGATCCCGATGCCCATCCCAGTGATCCCGGTGCCCATCCTGGTGATCCCGGTGCCCATAACAGTGATGCCGGTGCCCATCCCGGTGCCTGTCCTGGTGACTGTGGTGTCCATCCTGAGGATCCCAGTGATCCCAGTGCCCATCCCCATGATCCTGGTGCCCATCCCGGTGTCCATCCCAGTGATGCCGGTGACCACAGTGCCCATCCTCGTAGCCATCCTGGTGATCCTGGTGCCCATCCTGGTGACCGCAGTGCCCATCCCAGTGCCCATCCCAGTGACCATGGTGCCCATCCCAGTGCCCTTCCTGGTGATTCCGGTGCCCATCCCAGTAATCCTGGTGCCCATTTTCGTGTCCATCCTGGTGCCCACCCCAGTGTCCATCCCGGTGATCCCGGTGCCAATCCTAGTGTCCATCCCGGTGATCCCAGTGTCCATCCGGGTGATCCTGGTGTCCACCCCCGTGCCCATCCTGGTGCCCATCCCGGTGATCCCGGTGCCCATCCCAGTAATCCTGGTGCCCATCTTTGTGTCCATCCTGGTGCCCACCCCAGTGTCCATCCTGGTGTCCATCCTGGTGCTCATCCTGGTGAACCTGGTGCCCATCCCAGTGTCCATCCTGGTGCCCACCCCAGTGTCCATCCTGGTGCCCATCCCAGTGTCCATCCTGGTGATCCCTGTGCCAATCCCACTACCCATCCCGGTGATCCCAGTGTCCATCCGGGTGATCCTGGTGCCCACCCCCGTGCCCATCCTGGTGCCCATCCCGGTGATCCCGGTGCCCGCGGTGCCCGGCAGGGCTCGGAGCTGGCAGGATGGGCCATGGGCCGCTGGACGTACGAGGGCATCGACCTCAACCACAACTTCGCCGACCTGAACACGGCGCTGTGGGACGCCGAGGACAACGACCTGGTGCCCCACGAGTTCCCCAACCACTACATCCCCATCCCCGAGTACTACACCTTCGCCAACGCCACGGTGAGAGCCCGACCCCATCCTGTCAGTGTGAGGACCCAAACCCCCCATCCTGTCAGTGTGAGGACCCAAACCCCCCATCCTGTCAGTGTGAGGACCCAAACCCCCCATCCTGTCAGTGTGAGGACCCAAACCCCCCATCCTGTCAGTGTGAGGACCCAAACCCCCCATCCTGTCAGTGTGAGGACCCAAACCCCCCATCCTGTCAGTGTGAGGACCCAAACCCCCCATCCTGTCAGTGTGAGGACCCAAACCCCCCATCCTGTCAGTGTGAGGACCCAAACCCCCCATCCTGTCAGTGTGAGGACCCAAACCCCCCATCCTGTCAGTGTGAGGACCCAAACCCCCCATCCTGTCAGTGTGAGGACCCAAACCCCCCATCCTGTCAGTGTGAGGACCCAAACCCCCCATCCTGTCAGTGTGAGGACCCAAACCCCCCATCCTGTCAGTGTGAGGACCCAAACCCCCCATCCTGTCAGTGTGAGGACCCAAACCCCCCATCCTGTCAGTGTGAGGACCCAAACCCCCCATCCTGTCAGTGTGAGGACCCAAACCCCCCATCCTGTCAGTGTGAGGACCCAAACCCCCCATCCTGTCAGTGTGAGGACCCAAACCCCCCATCCTGTCAGTGTGAGGACCCAAACCCCCCATCCTGTCAGTGTGAGGACCCAAACCCCCCATCCTGTCAGTGTGAGGACCCAAACCCCCCATCCTGTCAGTGTGAGACCCCAAACCCCCCAAAGTGCCCCTAAAACCCCCCAAACCCCCCAAAAACCCCAAACCCCTCCCAACCACCGGGCGGTGCTGCCCACCCACAGGGGGCCGCCCTGGGGCTGGACCACCCCCATCCTATCAAATCCATAGTAAGACCCCAAAAGCCCCATCCTGTCAGTGTGAGACCCCAGAAGCCTGAAACCCCAAAAGCCCCATGCTATCACATTGGTGTCACGGTCAGACCCCAAAACCCCCATCCTATCAAATCCATAGTAAGACCCCAAAAGCCCCATGCTATCACATTGGTGTCACGGTCAGACCCCAAAACCCCATCCTATCACATTGGGGTGAGACCCCAAACCCCCCAAAGTGCCCCTAAAACCCCCCAAACCCCCCCAAAACCCCAATCCACCGGGCGGTGCTGCCCACCCACAGGGGGCCGCCCTGGGGCTGGACCCGCCCAGCTCCGTGGGTCACCAGAAGCCACAAGGACGTGGCCACCACCACCACGAGGCCCTGGTGACAGCGGTGTCACCACACGCACGACCCTGGAGACGTGGGTGACAGCAGTGTCACCGTGTGCCAGTGGCCCCGGAGACGCATGGGTGGCTGTGGAGGTGTGGGTGACAGCACTGTCACCATGCAGGTGGCCCCAGAGATGCAGGTGACAGAGGTGTCACCGCACACATGGCCTCAGAGACACAGGTGACAGTGCTGTCACCACGCAGGTGGCTCCAGAGACACAGGTGACAGCAGTGTCACTGCACCAGTGGCCCTGGAGGTGCATGGGTGGTCCTGGAGGTGTGGGTGACAGCGCTGTCACCGCACAGGTGGCCCTGGAGACGCATAGGTGGCCCCAGAGACGTGGATGAGAGTGGTGTCACTGCACTGGTGCCCGTGGCGGTGTGGGTGACAGCACTGTCACCACACGGGTGGCCCCTGAGACGCAGGTGATGGCAGTGTCGCTGTGCCAGTGGCCCCGGAGACACATGGGTGGCCATGGCAGCATGGGTGATGGCACTGTCACCATGCAGGTGGCCCCGGAGATGCATGGGTGACCATGGCGGTGTGGGTGACAGCGCTGTCACCGCGCAGGTGACCCCAGAGGTGTGGGTGGCCATGGCAGCGTGGGCAGTGGTGTCACTGCACTGGTGCCCATGGCGGTGTGGGTGACAGCACTGTCACCGCGCAGGTGACCCCAGAGGTGTGGGTGGCCATGGCAGTGTGGGTGATGGCACTGTCACTGCACCAGTGGCCTCAGAGATGCATGGGTGGCCATGGCAGTGTGGGTGACAGCACTGTCACCGCGCAGGTGACCCCAGAGGTGTGGGTGGCCATGGCAGCGTGGGTGACGGCGCTGTCACCGCACAGGTGGCCCCAGAGATGCATGGGTGGCCATGGCGGTGTGGGTGACGGCGCTGTCACCGCGCAGGTGGCCCCGGAGACGCGGGCGGTGATCGCGTGGATGCAGCGCTACCCGTTCGTGCTGAGCGCCAACCTGCACGGCGGCGAGCTGGTGGTCACCTACCCCTTCGACATGAGCCGCACCTACTGGAAGGCGCAGGAGCTGAGCCCCACGGCCGACGACGGCGTCTTCCGCTGGCTGGCCACCGTCTACGCCACCGCCAACCTCGCCATGGCCCGCGGCGAGCGCCGGCCCTGCCACTACGACGACTTCACGCGCCACGGCAACATCATCAACGGCGCCAACTGGCACACGGTGGCTGGCAGTGAGTGGGGACACTGAGCATGAGGGGTTTGAGGTTGTTTTGGGATCATGGGGACACTCTGGGAGTCCAGAGTGGGGGATTTGGGGGGATTTGGGACATGGGGACACTGAGGGGTTCCAGGTGGTTCTGGGATCGTGGGGACACTGGGAAGGGGAGATCAGGATGGGAGATCTGGGACATGGGGACACTGAGAGGTTTGAGGTTGTTATGGGATCATGGGGACACTCTGGGAGTCCAGAGTGGGGGATTTGGGGGGTTTGGGTCATGGGGACACTGAGAGGGTCTGGAGGTGCCGGGACAAGGGGGACACTGGGGAAGGGGAGATCAGGATGGGGGATTTTGGGGAGTTTGAGACATGGGGACACTGAGAGGGTCTGGAGGTGTTGGGACAAGGGGGACACTGGAGAAGGGGAGATCAGGATGGGGGATTTTGGGGAGTTTGAGACATGGGGACACTGAGGGGGTCTTAGGGTGCTGGCATCATGGGGACACTGGGAAGGGGTCCCGAGTGGGATGTCTGGAGGTGCTGGGACATTGGGGACACTGGGTGGCATTTGGGGGTTTCTGGGACAATGGGGACACTGGGTGGGGTCTGGAGGTGCTGGGACCGTGGGGACACTGGGGCTGCTGGGACAATGGGGACACTGGGTGGGATTTGGGGGTTTCTGGGACAATGGGGGCACTGTGTCACGGGCAGGGCACACCCCCAGGGGCTCTCTGTACACCTTTGAGGGGGGACACGCTGGGGACACTCGAGGGCGGCCGTGGGCAGGGCAGGGTGGCAGCGGGACGTGGCTGTCCCCAAAGGCCGAGGGTGGCACCGGGAGGGGGGGACGCGGCTGTGCCACCTGCCCGACCCCCCGCAGGTGCACCGCGGGATCAAGGGCGTGGTCAGGGACAGCGACACCGGGCAGGGCATCCCCAACGCCATCATCTCCGTGGATGGCATCAACCACGACGTCCGCACCGGTACGGGCACACCGGGACGGGATTGGGGTGGGAATGGGGTCGGGGTCAGGCGGGATAAGGACGGGGATGGGATGGGAACGGGGTTGGTGGGGAGATGGGAATGAGGACAGGAATGGGGACAGGGAAAGGAACGAGATGGGATTTGGGGGTGGAAATGGGATGAGACTGGGAAAGGGGATGGGATGGGGACAGGAATGGGAAGAGAAATGGGATGAGGTTGGGAATGGGGATGGGACAGGAATGGATGGCACTGGGGATGTGAGTGGGACATGGAAAGGAATGGGACAGGATCAGGAATTGCAGATGGGGGTGGAAACAGGACTGGGAAAGGGGACAGGGACAGGGATGGGATGGTTTGGGGACAGGGATGGAGGGGGGATGGGATTGGGAATTGCAGGTGGTGATGGGGACAGGAATGGGATGGTTTGGGGACAGGGATGGAGGGGGGATGGGACTGGGAATTGCAGGCCACAACAGGAGCAGGGTTAGGCTGGGAATGGGGATGGGACCGGGACAGGAACGGGACTGGGGATGGGAACAGGGGTGGGACAAGGACAGGCCCGGGCTGGGGACAGCAGTGTGACACGGCCCCGCCGCAGCCTCGGACGGGGACTACTGGCGGCTGCTGAACCCGGGCGAGTACGAGGTGACGGCGCGGGCCGAGGGCTACGAGGCGGCCACGCAGCCGTGCCGGGTCTACTTCGAGAACGTTCCCACGCCCTGCAGCTTCCGCCTGGCGCGGGCGCGGGGCCGCCACCGGCACGGGGGAACCCGCCCGGGCCCCGACCCGGCCCTGCGGCTGCAGCGGCTGCGCCTCCGCCGCCTGCGCGCCCACGGCCGCGGGCACTGAGCGGGACGGGACCGGCACCGGGACCGGGACCGGGGGCACCGAGCGGGCCGGGACCGGGGACCGCGCGGGACGGCTCCCAGTAAAGCTCGGGTGCGCTGCCGCTGCGAGTGTGCGGGCATGGAGCGGCGGAGGGACCGGGAACGGCACAGGGAATGGGAATAGAAACGGGAACAGGAACGGGACCGGGAACAGGAACGGCACCGGGAATGGGAACGGGAACGGGAACAGGAACGGGACCGGGAATGGGAATGGGAACGGGAATAGGAACGAGAATAGGAAGGGGAACGGGAATGGGAACGGGAACAGGAACGGGAATAGGAACGGGACTGGGAAAGGGAATGGGAACGGGAACAGGAACGAGAATAGGAATGGGACCGGGAAGGGGAATGGGAACGGGAACAGGAACGAGAATAGGAATGGGAACGGGACCAGGAATGGGAACGGGACCGGGAAAGGGAATGGGAGCGGGAACACGACCGGGAATAGGACTGGGAACAGGAAAGGGGACGGTACCGGGAAGGAGAATGGGACGGGGAATGGGAACGGGACCGGGAGCGGTACCGGGGCTCGATCCCGCCCCGAGCCCTCGCGTGGGAACTCGGCGAGGCCACGCCCCCCGCCAGGCCACGCCCATTCTCTGCCAGTCAATCGCGCCGCCGCGGTAAAACCCCGCCCATTCGCTGTGGACCAATAGGAACCCCGCGCTGAGCCGCGCCCCTCATTAAGACACGCCCCTTTGCGTGGTAGGAATAATTAATCTCCACAAGCCACGCCCACCCAGCCACGCCCCTTTTGTTGTGTCGGGTGCTCCGCCCGGCCCCGCCCCTTTCCCAATGCATCATCTGGCCCCGCCCCCGCGCGCACGTGAGCGCTTGTCCCGCCCTCCCTTCATCTCTGCGCGCCTATTGGCTGCTGGCGGCGGGAGGGGCGGGGCGTGGCGGCGGCGGGACCAATAGGGTGCGAGCTTCATGGGCGGCGCGGAGGGGGCGGGGCTGGGGGGTCCCCACAGTGGGGTCACCCCACCCCACTCCCCCGTAGCCCCCCATCGCTGCCCATGGCCGGGGTTTGGGGGTGACGGGGCTCTCCTGCAGTGTCCCCCCGGCCGTGCCCGGGCCCCCCGTGCCCTGTGCCCCCCCAGATCCCCGGCATCTTGCGGGCACAGGGGGTGCGGCACACAAAGACCCCCCCCAAAAAAAAACCAAGCCAGCCCCCCGGCGCGGTGCTGGGGGGGTCACCGAGCCCCCCTCGGGCCGCCCAGGGACCCCCCGGTGGTCCCCGAGGAGCCGCAGAGCCGCCGGTCCCGGATTGAGCAGCGACAGCGTCGGGAGCAGCAGGTGGGGGGGGCGGCCGGGAGGGATTGGTGGGGGGGGTGGGGTTGGGGCATTTTGGGGACCCCCTCGCCGTGCCCGGCATGGCTCTGTGCCCCTAAACGCGGGGGGGCTGTGCCTGTGCCCCCTCCTGTGCCTGTCCCCCCCTCCTGTCCCTCCTGTGCTCGTGTCCCCTCCTGTCCCCTCCTGCCCCCTCCTGTCCCCTCCTGCCCTCTCCTGTCCCCTCTGTCCCCTCCTGTGCCCTCCTGTCCCTGTCCCTCCTGTCCCCTCCTGCCCCCTCCTGTCCCCTCTGTCCCCTCCTGTGCCCGGGCCCTTTGCCCCTTTGCCCCTTTGCCCCGCTCCGTCCCGGGCCCAGCACGGTGCCCACGCCGTGCCCACCTTTGCCCGGGGCGGGTCGTGCCGCGGCTCCCGGTGAGTGCCGGGGTCCCGGGGAGAGGGTGGGGGGCACCCCCGGATCCTGCAGCGCTCCCCCTGTGTCCCCCCTCCCCGGTGCCCGTGCTGCCAGCCCGGCTGTGCCAGGTGAAGCCCCTGCCCAGCTGGGTGAACCCCCAGGGGCTCAGCAAGGGGGAAAAGAGACCCCCCAACTTTTTTCCCTTTGTTTTTGGGGGGACCCTCGGGTGGGAGCAGCACTGGCACTGCCCTGACCCCCTGTGCCATGCCAGGGATGGGTTTGGGGGCACCCTGAGGGTCCCTGTGAAGGTGGGCACTGCCCTGACCCCCTGTGCCACCCCAGGGATGGGTCTGGGGGCACCCCGGGGGTCCTGTGAAGGTGGGCACTGCCCTGACCCCCCTGTGCCATCCCAAAGATGGGATCTGGGGGCATCCTGAGGGTCCCTGTGAAGGTGGGCACTGCCCTGACCCCCTGTGCCATGCCAGGGATGGGTCTGGGGGCACCCTGGGGTTCCTGTGAGCGTGGGCACTGTCCTGACCCCCCTGTGCCATCCCAAAAATGGGTTCTGGGGGTGTCATGGGAGGTCTCCATCCATGGCACTGCCCTGACCCCTTGTGCCATGGGATGGGTCTGGGGGCACACTGAGGGTCCCTGTGAAGGTGGGCACTGCCCTGACCCCCCTGTGCCATGCCAGGGATGGGTATGGGGGCACCCCGGGGGTCCCTGTGAAGGTGGGCACTGCCCTGACCCTCCTGTACCATCCCAAAAATGGGCTCTGGGGGTGTCATGGGAGGTCTCCATCCATGGCACTGCCCTGACCCCCTGTGCCCTCCCAGAGATGGGCTCTGGGTGTCCCCCTCCATGGCACTGCCCTGACCCCCCTGTGCCACCACAGGGATGGGTATGAGGGCACCCCGGGGGTCCTGTGAGGGCCGGCACTGCCCTGACCCCCTGTGCCATCCCAAAGATGGGATTTGGGGGTGTCGTGGGGGGTCCCCATCCATGGCACTGCCCTGACCCCCTGTGCCCTCCCAGAGATGGGCTCTGGGTGTCCCCCTCCATGGCACTGCCCTGCCCCCCTGTGCCACCCCAGGGATGGCTCCAAGGACACTCTGGCCGTCCCTGTCCCCCTGTCCCCCCCAGCACCCATGTCCCCCACCCCACCCGTCCATGGCACCCCGTAACCCCTCTGCGTGCCCCCGCAGGTGCCCCCATGGCGTCGTTCCGCATCCGGCAGTACCAGGAGCAGGACTACGAGGCCGTGCGGGCGCTGTTCGCCCGCGGCATCCTGGAGCACGCGCCGGCCGCCTTCCGGCACGTGCTGCGGGCGGCGCGGGTGCGCCTGGCGCTGCTGGCCGTCTTCGTGGCGGCGAGGGCGGCCGCGGGCTCCTGGCCGCTGGGGCTGGGCGCGGTGGCGCTGGCGCTGGTGCTGCTCTGGGTGCTGGTGCGCTCGCTGGGCACCGAGTACGTGCGCGAGGCGCTGGGCACCGACCTGTGCGACGTGCCCGGCGCCTACCTGCGCCCGCCCGACTGCCGCCTCTGGGTGGCCGAGGAGGGCGGCGCCGTGGCGGGCATGGTGGCGGCGGTGCCCGCGGGCCGCGGCGAGCTGGAGCTGAAGAGGCTGTCGGTGAGCCGGGAGCGGCGGGGCCGCGGGTTGGCGCGGGCGCTGTGCCGGGAGGTGCTGGCGTTCGCCCGCGCCCGCGGCTACGGCGCCGTGGTGCTCAGCACCTCCATGGTGCAGGTGGCGGCGCAGCGGCTCTACGAGGGGCAGGGCTTCCGCAGGGTGGGCACCTCGTACCCCTCGCTGCTGGGCACCTTGCTGAACTTCCAGATCTTTCACTACCGCTGTGACTTGGGGGATGGCACGAAGTAGGGCCCGGGTGGCGCGGTGCCGGGATGGAGGGGCCGGCGTGGCACCCCGAACCTGGCACGCGAGGCACCGCCATGGCACCCCAGCTCCAGCCCTGGTGTGGCGAGCCCGGGACATGAGGCGTTGCCGTGGCACTGCCGTGGCACCCGAATCCTGGCACCGCCGCTGCCCGCGAACCCTGGCACCGCTATGGCACCCCACACCCGGCCCCGGGACGCAACCCCAACACTCCCACCCCAATCCTGGCACAGCAGCGCCAGCACAGCACCGCAATCCCAGGACACGAAGCACCACCGCGGCACCCCAGCCTGGCACTGCCTTGGCACGGTGACACCGGGACGTGTGGCACTCGCTGCCTTGGCACCCCGGGATCCAGCACAGCACTCCAACCCTGGCACTGAACCATGGCACCCCGATCCCCACCCCGGCACAGGGGGCACCCACGTGGCCCTTCCTGGATTTCCAGCAGCAGGAAATAAAGAGAGACCTGTGGGAACGGTGTGTGTGACAAGGGACATCTTGGGGCATGGGGACATCCCCTGGGGGCAAGGGACAGCCTGGGGGACAGCGGACACTCTGAGGGGGAAGGGATACCTTGAGGGACACCTGGGTGGAACAGGGGACATCTTGGGCGACACCTTTTGGGATAAGAGGCCTCTTGGGGAACTGAGGACACACTGGGAGACAACGGAGATTTTGGGGGAGAGGGGAAATCTTTGGGGACAGGCGACATTTGGGGGGGACAAGGCCTGTGCCCTCACCCAAGATGGCGGCGGTTCCCCTTTCCCGCTGCCCTCACCCAAGATGGCGGCGGTTCCCCATTCTCCTGCCCGTGCCCACACCCAAGATGGCGCCGCCCAGCCCTGCGTCACGGCGCGACGTGCGGGGCGTGGCGCGCTGAGGGAAGCGCCGGGACCGCCGGGCCCCGATCCCGGTGCCGGTGCCGGTTCCCCTCGGCCCATCCCGATCCCGGTGCCGGTCCCGGTTCCCCTCGGCCCATCCCGATCCCGGTCCCGGTGCCGGTTCCCCTCAGCCCATCCCGGTTCCCCCGTCCCGGCCGCGCCATGGATTGTTACACGGCCAACTGGAACCCGCTGGGCGAGGAGACCTTCTACCGGTGAGGGGCAGCGGCGGCGGCACCGGCCTGAGGGTGCTCGGGGGTCCCGCGTGTGCCTGGGGGGCTCCGGGGTGCCGGGGGTGCTCTGGGGGGTGCCAGGGATGGAATGGGGGTGGCAGGGCTGGAAAGGGGGTCCCGGAGGTGGCCGGGTGGGTTCTGGGGCTGTTTCAGGGTCTGGGTGGACACGAGCCCTGGGCTGGCTGGGGGTGGGGGTCCCGGGGGTGTCTCTGGGGTTTTGAGGGTTCTTGGAGGGGTCTCGTGGTGTACATGGGTGGTGGGGCTGGCTGGGAAGGGCGTCCCGGGGTGGCTGAGGGGTCCCAGGGGTGGTTGAGGTGTCAGGGTGGTCTTGGGGTGGCTGGGAGGAGCTCCTGGGGTGGCTGGGGGGGTCCTGAGGTGGTCCCAGCTCCTCGGGCTGTTCTGGGGGATCCCTGGGGGTCTGTGGGGGTCTCCAGGGTGTCTGTGGATCTTGGGGCTCCTGGGGGTGTCCCAGAACCAGTTTGGGAGTGGGCACTGTCCGTGTCCCCCCCACCCATCCATCCATCCATCCATCATCCATCCATCATCCATCCATCATCCATCCATCCCTCCTGTCCCCTCAGGAAGCTGGAGCTCTACTCCATGGAGTGGGGGCTGCGGGAGGACCTGCGTGACTGTGTGCTGGCAGCTGCCCCCTATGGGGGTCCCATAGGTGGGTGCAGCCCCCCGCGCCCCCCTCCCCGTGCTGGGGCTGTGCCACCAATGGCTCAGGGACTGTCCCCTGCTTGTCCCAGCTCTGCTGAGGAATTCCCGGCGGGACAAGACCCCCAGCGCCCGCCCGCTCCTGGAGATCTACTCGGCCTCGGGGCTGCTCCTGGCCAGTGTCCCGGTGAGCCGGGGGGTGGAGAGCCCGGGGCTGGGGACAGGGAGAGGGGGCTGCCCTGGGATGGGACGGGAGCGTGGGATGGGCTTGGAGCAGGGGAATCCTCTCCCTGCTGGTGAGGGATGGAAGAAGAGGATGGGATGGGGTTTGGAGGAGGAGAATCCTCTCCCTGCTGGTGAGGGATGGGACAGGAGCATGGGATGGGCTTGGAGCAGGAGAATCCTCTCCCTGCTGGTGAGGGACAGGAGCATGGGATGGGCTTGGAGCAGGGGAATCCTCTCCTCTCCCTGCTGGTGAGGGACAGGAGCATGGGATGGGCTTGGAGCAGGGGAATCCTCACCCTGCTGATGAAGGATGGAAGAAGCAGGTGGAATGGGGCTTGGAGCAGGAGAATCCTCTCCCTGCTGGTGAGGGATGGGACAGGAGCATGGGATGGGCTTGGAGCAGGAGAATCCTCTCCCTGCTGGTGAGGGACAGGAGCATGGGATGGGCTTGGAGCAGGGGAATCCTCACCCTGCTGATGAAGGATGGAAGAAGCAGGTGGAATGGGGCTTGGAGCAGGAGAATCCTCTCTCTGCTGGTGAGGGATGGGATGGGGTTTGGAGCAGGAGAATCCTCTCCTTGCTGATCAGGGATGGGACAGGAGCATGGGATGGGCTTGGAGCAGGGGAATCCTCTCCCTGCTGGTGAGGGATGGAAGAAGAGGATGGGATGGGGTTTGGAGGAGGAGAATCCTCTCCCTGCTGGTGAGGGATGGGACAGGAGCATGGGATGGGCTTGGAGCAGGAGAATCCTCTCCCTGCTGATCAGGGATGGGACAGGAGCATGGGATGGGGTTTGGAGCAGGAGAATCCTCTCCCTACTGGTGAGGGATGGGAGGATGGGATGGGCTTGGAGCAGGAGAATCCTCTCCCTGCTGGTGAGGGATGGGACAGGAGGATGGGATGGGTTTGGTGCAGGAGAATCCTCTCCCTGCTGGTGAGGGATGGGACAGGAGCATGGGATGGCTTTGGAGCAGGAGAATCCTCTTCCTGCTGGTGAAGGATGGAAGAAGAGGATGGGATGGGTTTGGAGCAACAGGATTGGGCAGGAGGAGAGTCCTCCCTTCATCCTGTCTGGATCTGGGAGAAGAGCATGGATTGGGGTTTGGAGAATCCTTTCCCTGCTGATGAGGGATGGAAGAAGAAGGTGGAACGGGGTTTGGAGCAGGAGAATCCTCTCCCTGCTGCCCAGGGATGGGACAGGAGGGTGGGATGAGGACTGGAGCCACGGGAACATCGTCCTTCTCCACTGCCTGGGGCTGAGGGGGACATGGGGCAGTGGAGGGACAGTGCCAGGACTGCAGGGACCTGCAGAGCCACAGCAGGTGGGGTGTTGGACCTCTGGATGAGGCGCTGGACCTGTGGATGAGGTGTTGGACCTGTGGATGAGGTGTTGGACCTGTGGATGAGGGGTTGGACCTGTGGAGGAGGGGTTGGACCTGTGGATGAGGTGTTGCACTTTTGGATGAGGTGTTGGACCTCCAGGTGGGGTGTTGGACCTCTGGATAAGGCATTGGACCTCCAGGTGAAGTGTCAGTGTTGGACCTCTGGATGAGGTGTGGTGTCAGCCCTGTGGATGAGATGTTGGACTTTTGGATGAGGTGTCTGTCCTGTGGATGAGGTGTCAGTCCTGTGGATGAGGTGACAGTCCTGTGGATGAGGTGTCTGTCCTGTGGATGAAGTGTCAGTCCTGTGGATGAGATGTTGGACTTTTGGATGAGGTGTCTGTCCTGTGGATGAGGTGTCTGTCCTGTGGATGAGGTGACAGTCCTGTGGATGAGGTGACAGTCCCCTGATGAGTTGTTGGACCTCTGATGAGGTGCCAGTTCTCTGGATGAGGTTTTGGCTTTTGGATGAGGTGTTGGACCCCTGGGTGGGGTGTCCAAGCTCTGGACAAGGTGTCAGAGCTCAGCCACCCCGGGTGTGTCCCTGGAGGGCCATCCCTGGCTCGGGGTGACCCTCCCCGTGCCATTCCCAGTGGAAGAGCGGCCACCTGGTGCACCTGGGCTGGACAGCGGGGGAGGACCTGCTGTGCATCCAGGAGGATGGGACTGTCCTGGTCTACAACCTGTTCTGCGAGTTCAAGAGGCACTTCAGCATGGGAAACGTGAGGGAACGGGATTTGGGATGGATTTGGGATGGATTTGGGATGGGGAAGGTGGGAAGGGACCTCGCAGCCCATCCCATTCCACCCCTGCCCTGGACAGGGACGCTTTCCACCATCCCAGGTGGCTCCAAGCCTGTCCAGCCTGGCCTTGGACACTTCCAGGGATCCAGGAACAGCCACAGCTTCTCTGGGAATTCCACCCCAGCCCCTCCTCACCCTCAAGCCAGGAATTCCTTCCCAAAATCCCACCCCAATCTCATCTTCTCCATTTCCCCTTCATTCTGCCCCTTCTGAGATGCCCTGGGTGGGGTTTGGGGGACGCAGAACCGGCTCCTTGGGGCACCTCGGGGAGCCAGGGGCTGTGCCATCCCTCGGGGAAAGAGCGGGGATCCATCGCAGGGAGCAGAACATTCCCCTCCTCACTGCCTGCATCTGCCGCGCCCCGCGTGTCCCGGTGTCCCCGGTGTCCCCGGTGTCCCCGGTGCCCCCTCCCGCCTGTCCTGCAGGAGGTGCTGCAGAACCACGTGCTGGAGGCGCAGGTTTTCCACACGGAGTTCGGGACGGGCGTGGCCATCCTGACGGGAGCGCTGCGCTTCTCCCTGGCCACCAACATCGACGACCTCAAGCTGCGCCGCCTGCCCGAGGTCCCTGGTGGGTGTCCCCATGTCCCCCTCTGTCCCCTCTGTACTCCACTGTCCCTCTATCCCACATCCCCCCTGTTCTGTCCCCTTTGTCCCTCCTGTCCCCCTCTGTCCTTCTCTACCTCTTTCCCCACTTTGTTCCATGTGTCCCCTCCTTGTCCCCCCATCCCTCAGTGCCCTCTGTCCCCAGTCTGTCTGTCTGTCCCTCCCTGTCCCCCCTGTCCCCGTGTCGCTGTGTGCCCGTGTCCCAGGGTGTCGCGCTGTCCCCGCAGGGCTGCAGAAGCCCCCGCCGTGCTGGACCGTGCTGGCCCAGGACAGGGTGACCATGGTGCTGCTGGCCATGGGGCAGGAGCTCTTCCTGCTGGACAACACCTCCTGCTCCGTGCTGGTGAGGCCATCTGGGATTTGGGACAGCGCTGCACTGTCCCCACTGTCCCTTGGGGTGTTCTGGCTCCTCCCCCTGTCCCCTGAGATTCTCCCAGGTCCTTTTCCCATCCCACAGGATCTTCCCAGGTGCTTTCCTTGTCCCATGGGATGCTCCCAGCTCCTTTTTCTGTCCCATGAGATATTCCCAGGTCCTTTTCCCATCCCACAGGATCTTCCCAGGTGCTTTCCTTGTCCCATGGGATGCTCCCAGCTCCTTTTTCTGTCCCATGAGATATTCCCAGGTCCTTTTCCCACCCCACAGGATGCTCCCAGGTCCTTTTCTCACCCTATGGGATATTCCCAGC